GGAATAAATCCATGTCTTCTGATGTTGGTCTTATATTGGAATTTGAAACAGAATTTAACTTTATATTGGAATTTGAAACATCTGGCCTTTCAGGATTTTGAATATTGCAATTAAATCTCTGCAGTAATTCTGTTCCGGTCAAAAGAGATTTATTCGTTTTAATTCTTGCAGTTATTCAGGTTTCTTGTCTTCAGACACTCACCACCACCACAATCTATTCTCTCACACTCCTGCTCAGCTCCAAGGTGCAGCTCTGACATCACAGGCCAGGAGGCTTTTTGTAGCATGTTGAAACCGGTTTGCATTTAAATGTCAAAAAAGCTCAATTTTTTAAACATAAAATTGAGTATTGTAGGATTATGCAACAAAATTAGACAACTATGCATTCCACTTTGTAAATCAGTAATGTGACCCGCTACGTCAGACTAATGGAACGTTCTCATCCACACAATACTTATCGCCCTTTTCTTACAATCTAACACACAATAATTAAAATGTAAAAAAGCCATGTTTACATTTATTCTATGGCTTCTTAATTGTGTTGTTTTCCTGTGAGGACAAAAATATACATTAAGAGTGTTGGGTTAGATTGTTGTCGTACAGAAAACCTGAACACAGTTTTGTTTTCCTTCTGTGGTGGCATGATGAATATACTGTATATAACTAAAGCCGTTCTCTGTAGGAGTTGGGGGTGCCTTCCTCATCCTGATAGGGGTCCCAAGTGTAAAACACTTTCACCTCCGTAAAGGTGAGTGCTTGGATGTTCACAGATCAGCAGAATTAGCAAACACTGGAAAAGTTGCAAAAGAAATTCAAATTCACTTGGAAGATGATGTAGACAAACATCTGTTGATGCATACGTGTCACAGAAACACAAACTACACAAATAAAATGTAAAACTCAAAGTTACTTATGAAAAGACTGTGTTGTACACACAATTTTTATTTTCTGTGAGGAAGCAATAACAAAGTACATTTTGACGTTATTGTAACGCATACGGCCACCATTGCAGGTTGTTTGAGCCGGCTTACCAACGCGGTGATGTCACCCCCCTTCCCTTTGAATAGCAGGGACCACAGCTGTCGGGCTGACGGGAGATTTCCCTTTAGCTCAAGTGGCTGGGTCCCTGTTGAGTGACGCTGGAGGCCCGGGTTCGGGTCCCTGATGGTGGGGGACTGACCTGAGGCGGCAGCGGCGAGGGCGCATAGGCAAGTGAACCCCGGAGCATTACATTATATTTAATATGGTAGATTTTAAATCATCGGTTTAATGTTGACATTTTCTAGAGTACTAATAATTCCTCATTCAAAATATTGGGTACATTTTCCCCATGACACAAAAAATATTGCTCTAGAATCAGTCCACAGAAGGGCAGCCACACATACTGTTGGGCTCAAATGAATGTCCAATACCAAAAGGTGAAAACTTTTTTAGCTGCCGAAGAGTGATAACTATAGATTATTCTGTCAAAGCCTTCGAAACTTTTGAAGACTTGAATCATAATTCAACCCAGTGGCCTTCTTTCAGAATCAACACTTAAAAAGAAACCAGTGGGCACAGGAAAACTACGGAAGAAATGCATTTAAAACTTTGAAAAGGCGGCACTTCTTCACACAAATGGTTGTTGGGAGTCTAGAACCAAATATGCCACCATGTTGTTGAAGCTGATAACCTGACTTCTGTTGTTAAGAAATGGATTAGTTCATATGAAATATGTACTAAAAAACAAATTAGTCATAGTCCAAATGGCCTCATCTCATTTGGAAATATTCTTACGTTCTTGTTGTTACTGTACATGTTACAGGCCAACTATTGGGATCATTGTATGGCCTGTTAGCAATCTGGTCACCATTCATTTCAATCCTGACAAAACAGAGCTAAGAAGTGGAGTGTACAGTAGGACACAGACTGTAAACAAGCCCTTCTTTGAGTGGGAGGAGAGAATAGGCAGACACTAAGGTAAAATCACATTACAGGTAAGTGGTGAATGACCAGTATAGAAGATGAGCTCAGAATAGCAGAGATTCAGCTATAATAATTTTCCTCATCTTCTAACAGGCTTTGTTTGCTTCAAGTCTTCTCATTTAAAGACAAAAACTGTATAAGGCAAACACGATCTCAATGGACTGCATTTAGAAAATAATTTCCTGTGTTTTGAGGTAGCAAGGTACCCACTAAGCAAACAAACCTCCCTTTGACATACTTTATTTTGATGCATGTATTTGATAGAGGGGTATTTTTTTCCTCTGGTATAGCATCAGCTTAGAAACTAGTTTTGTTTTGGGTGGGACCTAAAGAATGATAGAACTGTCTTTTGCTTAACTTGTAACTCTTTTGGATGCCATTGGTATCTGTTTCTCACAAAGATACCTGGGTAGCTAAGATTCCATGAAAAACCGGGACCAGGTATGAACTTTTACTGTAAATATTTGTACAGTATGTTTTCCTGTCCAGCTGTCTTCGTAAGTAGTTTGTTTCACTTTGTTGCCTTTTCTTTAGTTCTATTATGTAAGGAACAAAGAAACCACATAACTGCTTGACATTCTCTGACCTGTGGGATGTTTTATTTTAATTTGAATTATTTTGCTTGCTAGACACACTGATGTCAGGGCCTTAGCTTTACTTTTTTAACCTTTATTAATTTACATGCACCTTCCTCTCTTTTACACCTGGCATCTGTACAAGACTAGCACCAGCATAAGCTGTCCTTCCCCCATTTTGTTACATTATGAGCAGCATTACTGAATGCTATTTAAACCTCCTACACCCAGTCTGTAAAGCCATGTTGTACGTGGCCTCCAGAGCACCCTGTCAGAACAGTGATACTGAAACCTGTGTGCCCCACGACACCATGAACCCACACATTAACTCACGTAGTTCTTCAACAAAAAACTGCGGCAGTCGTCATTTCAGGTGACAATGTCATCATCAAGATGTCTGTGCAGGATATGACCTTTTCTTTCCAGAATAAAAAATGGCTTTTCTTCTTGTCTTGAAAATGTGTTTCTCCTAGAATAAGCTAAATATTTTTACTAATAGAAATATGTGTAGAGAGATTTACTGTATGCCTTCTTGAGAAAATGAACATTTTCTATGTACTGTAATTCTCTAAGGAAACAGAATACAGATATGGAGTCCTCTATAGGGAGGTGTTTGCAGAGGTCAAATGAATGTTATCCTGACGTCAGCTTCAGCACAAGCTATTTATAAAGGTAAAACAGCGACACCCTGAGGATTATTTTCTCCCACTGTGAGTTTTTGTTTTCCTCCATGCCCACATAGTCAGCTGCTCTCTACTGTCACTCTGTAAAGAGCCCTGTAGCCAAGTGTTGCGAAGGATGCTGTAGCAAATGAAAGATTGATTGATGGTAAACTAAAAAATGATACCACCACATGTCAGAGAATACCATACAAATTCACACGACTACTTTATTTTTCCACGGACAATTTAGTAATTGAAGAATAAACGGGCAATAGCTCAAAAGTCGCGGATTTAATAAAACTTACACAAATTCACAAGCTAATATTTGCAGGCTATTATATGTATATAATTGGAGTGTGTTTTAGACCAAAACACCATACCAAAAAAAACATTCATGCTCAATTGCTAAACACTCATAAAGTCATAATAAGACTGAAAAGAAGACCTACAGTACATCTTTATCCAGAAATGTTTTCATAAATAATCCTCCAAAGGTAAATTTGCATTCTAGACATGATTCTTTAAGAGGACATCCTTTGATCTCTTTGTAAAATTGATTCTAAAAAGATGATGAACTGATGTCCCCTTGTACATCAAAATGAAATGTATGTACTTCAACAAATACTGTATGAAAAATACAACCCCTTGTCTTAAATGTGAGCCCATTCTGTTTGCTACTTAGTTTTGCTTCATCAATGTGGAATCCAAGCAGTAAGATTGTCTGCAGCACTAAAATCCACTCTTTCCAACACCTGACCACTCTAGTCCCTGCTGTCATTCTCTTCCCTGGTCTAATTTTGATCCACAGATTTGGTCACGTAAGCTTGGCTGCTCTGTTCACTGTCAACAAATAGTCAAATCTGGGGTCTCTGCTCAGCAAGGGCTGTAGATCTGATAAAATACCTCTGAGCTATTCAAACACATTAATAGTCACCTTGCTCTACATATACATCCTCTCATTGCAGCAATAGCAGAGTATACAGTGGATATAAAAAGTCTACACACCCTTATTGAAATTGCATGTTTTTGTGATGTAAAGCTAAAAATCAAGATAAATCATGTCAGACATTTTAATGTGACCTTGCAACCAACAAAATTCAAGAGAAAAACAAATAGATAATTATTAGGAAAAATAATTGAAATTAAAAAAACTTACAACACCATCGTTGCATAAGTGTGCACACCCTTTTAAAATGGGGGCTATAGCTGTTTTCAGAGTTAACCAATCACATTCAAAATCATGTCTAAAGGTAAGTAGCATACACCTGCCATCAATATACTGTAAGTGATTCTGATTAACCCCAAATAAAAATCATCTGTTCCTGTAGGATTTCCTTGAAACTTTCGGCAATGTTGATCTTGGCAATGTCTCCACTTATTGATGATAGTCTTCACAGTGCTCCATGGTACATCCAATCCCTCTGATATTCTTTTATACCCCTCTCCTGATCTGTACCTTTCAACAACAAGATCCCGTAGATGTTTTGTCAGCTCCTTGCGGACCATGGCTATCCCAGTAGGATGCAACCCGAAAGTTTCAAGAAAATCCTACGGGAACAGTTTATTACAAATTACATGGGTTACTGTGATAAAAAACGTTACGAAACAAAACGAAAGCATAAAAATTTCTAACAGTTACCTTACAATCCTTTGCCATCTGTGGAGGAGAAAACAAAACTTTAGTAAAATAATTGGCATTTATACTCGTCGACAACATTTTGCAATAAAGTCAACCTTAATTCAACAGAGATCCTAATAATGTCACTGGAAGGAAAGGCAAACAGATTGAAACAAACACTGATTTTCAAAGATGTTTATTGCTGTCCACATGGCAAAAAACTATTTGAATGAACAAAATCAGGTGTATAGTCATCTCCCTAAAATATGAATTTGTACAGCATCCTGCTTTTAATTGAATTGAAGAGAACTGAGAAATTATTTACCACATAGTGCTTCAATGCCTAAACACAGGATTTTAATTTTTATATAGATATGTCATTAAAAACACATTTCGAAGAATTTTATGATCTTTAAACTCACCTGAACTGATACTCTGGCGTCTTCAGGCCTCGACTAAACTATACACCAAAGTGCAGGGTTTGTAATTCAAACTGTCTAGATGGGTACTACCATCCATTGTATATTGGCTATCACATTTCTTACTTTGTGGTTTCTACCGCTCAAACATGCACACAATGGATTGACGACGAACAAGAGCTTGCAGTTTGAATAGGAACACAATTGTTTTCTTTAAGTATTTGACAGAGGCTTAAAAGAAATTTGAGTGTGAGATTTGTTTAGTGTATAAAGGAAACTTGGATTCTGATCCTCAGTTCTTTGCCATTTAGAAAGGCATTAAAAAAGCAGCAAAAAGCATTGAAAGTGCTGTTGCGCAAGATACTATTGAGAAAGCAAGGATATAAAAATACTGTACCTAAATTACATTCATAGGTACTCTCATATTGATTGGAGAATCAACTTTAACACACCTATTATGTAGTAACATAACACTGTGGACATCTAATATGCAACACACATTCCACTGAAATGCTTTTTGTATCTCATGTACTGTACTTGATACTTTTATTTTGTGACAAGGTTGCCCCCATGAGAAAAAGTTCCTCTAAGAACGTTAGAACATAAGTGTTTCAGGCTCATCACAGTACACACTTAGCCACCATTAATTTTACTCTTTTGTCACCTGATATACTCAATTATATGATTTTTTTTAAAATCAAAACCAAGACAAAGCCACACCTTTTATATGACACAGTAAACTACTCTTTCACTTATACAACTACTATATATCCACCAACACCACGGTTTTCGAATCATAATTCTATAGACAAGATAAGTTCCCTTCTGTGGGACCTCATAGACCAAGTCATAGCTGAGAGACAGACTTATAGGGGTGAATTTACTATTTTTTCTTTCCTTGTTATTTTTACACCATAAGGATCTCATTTGTGGTATAAAAAAAGATATCAAGTTGAAATCAAGATTGAGATTTTGAGATTGACCAATGTTTCCTTTAGTGATTTCTGCACCAACAGTCCAAGCTAGCAGGTGACTTTCATTTTGCATGGATAGAAAACACCACTGTACCTGGGCTGTTATCAAATGATTCCTGTCTAAAGTGCACCTTTGGAGACATCATAAAAAAGAGCTTTAATAAAAATTTTAAGTGGCCACTTTCAGATGTTTAGGTCTGTACCAGAAAACACAGAAAAACAGTCTGTCTTTCTGTTAAAGACATGAGCCACAGTACAGGATGATCCTACAGCTTGAAAATGACAGCTGTACTCCAGACCTCTCTCATCACCAAGACCTTGAGCTTTACCACAGCTCACAATCCTAAGCCTTAATAAATACATGTACGGCTCTTTGAAAGTCCACCAGCAGGGGGAAGAATTTTAAAGCTGGAGCATTTTGAGGTACAGAATTCTGACATCACTCAGTAGCTTCTCTTAAATGAGTACACTGGCTCATTTTAATTATCTTTTGCCATTTTTCTTTTAGAAAATGTTTCTCGACAGTTATTTACCAGAACAATTAGGAATCAGCGCTTGTCTTTACAGTATGTCTGCATTCAGAGCAATGACTCCTATGCTCACACGTGGAGAAATGAGGAAGTGCCAACCTGCCACACTGACTCCCTCATCCATTGAGTCATTTAACTTTTTGACATTGTGATCGTCGTGGTAACCTGCAGGAAGGTCAGTGTTGATTGAAGGAGCATTGCACCCCTCATTTCTGCCACAACAAGTCTGCAGGACAGCTGAGACAGTTGCAGGGGTCACTGCGACCTAAATAATGCTGATACTGCCCCCACTGCCGTGTGAGTTGTGCAAATTGGAAAACCTGCAGAGCTTTTTTTCCCCCAACTATAATATCTTATATTGCTAATATTCAAGTTCAAGCTAAAATTCTTTAGCAACAATAAAATATTATGAATGCAAAGGGCAACTTTGCACAAGATAGATTTGTAATCCAAAATGTTCTAGTTAATTACCTTTTAAGATCAAAGAATTTACTTTAATTCTGTGCTTTTCACAGTCCATGTGTTTTACAAACACATTTTTGGGTAATATGTTAATCTTTATAATAACCCTTTGAGTGAAGAAAGACACAGAAAAAAAATATTATGGGCTGAGTCACTGGTCCCTATTTTATAGGTACCATTACATTTTTTAGCCAATAGAAAGGGCTGCGTAATTCAATCCGAAGGCCTTAAGGTCAATAAAACCTGCTGCAATATACTGTACAGTGAATGTTGCTCTCTCTGGCAATGCTTCTAAGCATTACAATAGTTATGTGAGAAGGTAGACAAATGTCATCTAATATCTTAAATATTACTAAGCTTTTCCTGTATCATTGGCTCAAAGAGTCGGTCTAAAAAATCATCCTCGCTTTCTCTCCATGCTCATTATGCACAAAATGTAATGTCACAAAAATGTACACCACCCCCACAGTTTAATTCAAGAGTAAGAAACCTTTTTTGGAATTAAATTGTATGATGCTGGGAGTAATGGTGTTTTGACACATTTGGCTTAGCAACACTGGTTAAAAGAGCAGTGCTCTGTTAAAGTGCTTAGTTGGTTTAATTTTCTAAAAGAAAAGGTTTAGTGAACCAAATTATCCATGTTCCAAGATTATCCATGTTCAGAGTCCCGCAGTATCCGATGCTGCCAGGCTTCCTAATTCTCTTTGTTTTTCTGATGTAAGGTGAAAATTGCTTAGTCACTGCCGGCTTCTTTTTCAGCTAAAAGTGGCTTGATTTCACTGCCATCTTCAACACCCATGTACACCACAAAGCTGAGGGAAGAGAAAAGAACAGC